GGTACTCGAGCGCTAGGAGTACTTCCGCGGCGAAGAATCTGACCGCCTGAACCGGTAGCCGGTGGTGGGGTTGCTTGCGGAGCAAGGAATGTAAGTCGCCGTTGGGGCAGTAATCCATGAGAAGACACGTGTAGTGGGACACCTCTATGTGGGCGTAGAGCGTCGGCAGAAAGGGGTGGTCGAGGGCGGAGAGAATCTCCGCCTCCGTCTGCACGTGCGAGAGCTTCTTGGTGGTCAACGAATCGCGGTCGACGACTTTGAGCGCGAAGTCGGCGTGGTCGTAGTCGCGGAGGCGGCAGAGGAAGACGCGGCCGTGGTTGCCGGAGCCGACGAGGCGGAGGAGCTTCAGGTGGCGGAGGTGGAGTGCGCCGTCGGAGGAGAGCGTGGTGGCGGCGTCCACCGCGGCCCAGTTGGGGTTGTCGTGGCGGCGGTGGGGGCGGTGGTGGACGTTGTAGACGGCGGCGGAGGGGGAGGCGGTGGAGAGGCGGGACTCGTTGAAACTGAGGGTGAGGCTGCTCCGGGATAAACTGGTGCGGCCGGAGAGAGAGCGGTCGGTGGTGGCGGAGGTGAAGCTGAGGTCTAAATCGGAGTCTGCTAAATAGTAAATGGACGACTCTTCTTGATCCATTTTTTTTTTTTTTAATTTATTTTTGATTAATAAGAAGTTAAGTCTTATTATGGTAATGAAATATTGTTGTTGTTTGTGTGTGTATATATATAGAAGAGTGTTCCTCTACTATAGGGGGTGGGGTTAGGGGGGTGGGGGGGTAGGGAGTAGGGGGTGGGTGGAGGAGGGGACACACAATTAATATTAACAACGTGATAGGTTGACACAAATTTGGTGACTTTTAAATTTTTGTATTATTCTCTATTTTATCTATATATGTAATTAAGTATTCATGCATTCACATTATTATGATGCACTATAAGTGAAGATTGTAAGTGCGGATTAAATCGGACGGATCAGATCGAAATTAGACATTTCGGAAAAAATCGGTTTTTTTCGGTGGTTTAAATCGGACGGATCATATCGAAATTAGACATTTCGGAAAAAAGTCGATTTTTTTAGGAAGTGAAAACCAATTCCAATTTTATTCTAAGAAACTCGGATAAATCGAAAAATTTCGAATTGGGATCGACGGAAATCAGAAATTTCGTTCCAATTTCCACTCTAATTGTAACTCTCTTTGTTTGTTTTAAGTTTCTCTAGCTTTTATTTTTTCTTATATTATGTGTTATTTTGGAGCTTTTAAGACTTAATTAATTTGTTTACCAATAGTACATATGCTATTTATCATTAACGATTAATGAATATTTATATGAAAAAAGTATCGTCTAATCTATGTGCATTTCGAATTCTTAATCTGTGTGCATTTACCTTACACTGCCGGTTGAAAATAAATCCTTTCTTAGGCTTGGATTATATTCGAGCCCTAGAGATTTTTTTTCAAAAACGCCTATGATAGACTAAGTTTCAATAAGTCTGAATATATTTAAAGACAGCCAGTTTCAAGCTAAGCTCGGGTCAATTAAATCTACGAAAACGGTAACTTTCACTTGTCGTCGCACATTGATTATCAACAACGAACCATCCATCAAACTCGTGTATAAATAGAAATTCTCCTACAAAGTTTCTTCTACACGAGTATCTGATTCGAGCGTCGGAGCTTAATTACAGGGACAAACAAATAAACAATTTGTTAAAAATATTGAAATATAAAAATGAAATATTATTGAAATAAAATGGGTTTAGTGGAGTTGACTAAAAAGTGAAAAGATTAAATTAGTAGTTGAAGAAAAGAGTAAAATGGGAGAGTTTTTTAGGTGCAGAGTGTGGGTGCTTGGAAACTCGTATTTCCATCCATCCGCGTCATTACATCGGAAGCTGCGAAAAAACTAATTAATATGATTTCCCATGTTTAAGTCATACTTAACTTTCTAGTTAATCACTATTCTATGTAATTACATAAACTGAAATGTTAAATGTCGTTTCAATTTTACTAATATCGTTTTGACTTCGAACCTGATTTTGACATATTTTGGTTTTGGCAAAATTCGAAACACGAAAATTATAGTTATTTGGGTTAGTTGTGTGATAAAAGTTATACATGAATGAGTCACATTTTGAATTTTAGATACCTCAATACATTAAAGTTGTAAGTAGTATGAGTAGCCATTGATTTCATGTATATCTTT